ACGTGACAACCAGGGCTGGGGGTGGGAATGGTTGGACAGTAAGTAGCACCCACCAGCCTAAATTGGGCTGGAGAGTGGGGTCCATCAGGCTGAGCTAGGCTACAGTACCCCTTAATGTGTATAAAAGCCAAATGGGATGTAGGACAGATTGAACACGTCTGCTACCAAGGCAGGGAGTGGGCCTCATGAGGGTTACTGTGGATTGCTCCGACTAAGTTGCAGTTCCCACTGGCATGCATGGGGGCTGAATGTGTGATGGGCAGGGTTAGGCTGGGCCACAGCATCTGTTGGTTTGAGTATAAGATGGAGCTTGGGACAGAAATGACCCAGCAACTACAAACACCAGTATGTGTATTGGCTGATGTGGGTGAAACAGAGCTGGACCACGCACTGGCTGTCACACACAGGAGTCAGGTCTGGGGTCACCTCAGGCATGGTTTCTTCAAGGAGTCCCCTAACTGAAATATTGAACTAAAAACTCCAGCCACGGGGAGAATCACAGGATCTGAAGTCTGACTGTGGGGTGCATGGATCAGAATGGACCTCTACAGTTGCTGAAGCCTGTGTAGTGGACGGCATGCCCAGATGTACACGGGGGACACGACAGTTCGTTGAGGCTTGCAGAGGATGTCTAGTACCACGGAGGGCAGAACAGATTGGACAATTCTCACAGCCAAGTTTTGACAGCAAATATTTGGGCGAGTGGAGGCTGTAATGTGGACTCTGTCAGCCAATGGACCTTGGAAGGATTTCCTCAACCTTGGAGCATTGAAATTAACAGCATCGCAGAACTAATGAAACCACTTGAGTGGTATCCTGGAAATATGCTTCAAATCAGGGACTCTAGGATGACTTTGAATGGCTGTCCCTCATCCTTGGGTGCTGATGTGGTTAGGACAGGACGTTGAGAGCAGACCTTTCCCCTTCTCTCCTCCCTTCCTTCAGATACAGGAAGAAAATAAAATTGTTGGAAGTGATTGTCTCTTCCGTTTTCCCCCATACCTTGACCCTTCCCACCCTAATCAGTGGTCCACATGGGGATGCATCCCTTTCAATTATATAAACATCATAAAAATAAAATAAATTTATTAAAAAAATAAAAATAGACATAAATGATAGTCAACATCTTTAGTCATTAAGAATGGCAACTCAAAATCACCATGAAATGTTTCTCATATCCGTGAGTGGATCTAAAACTAGGAACTGCCAATATCAAGGGTTAAAGGGAATACAAAGCAAATGGAATGCTCATAAATTGTTGGTGAGATCATAAAGTAGTACAATGAGCCTGAAAAACAGTTCAGCAGTTTCTTACAAAATTAAGTATGTATCTAAGATCCATTGATACTTTCCTAAGATATAAGGAATTATGTCCAAAAAACTTGAATATTCCTAAACGTTTATTCCTTTTTAAAAAAAAAAAAAGCTTTTTTTGAATGTGAAAGGCAGATAGAGATAGGTGCACATTAGCAAAAAGCTGAAATTAGAAATTGAGCTTGGATTTGATTCCAGACACTCTTACATGGGGTGAGGGCTTTCCAAGTAGTGTCTTAATTAGTGTATCAAACATCTTATCTATGAAGTTTTATTTTATTTTTTGTGGTAATCCCTCCCAGGAACAACTCAGATATGCATTGAAAACCCATTTTGATGAAACTCAGAAGAAAATGAAGACTATTTTATTTCAAATTAGAGCAAAGGCCATCCTTTTCACAGATTAGCAAAGAATTTAACTGAATTATGCTCATGCTCTAGTACCTCATGGAGGGCAGAAGTTTAGAGTACTGAACTAAGAAAATTGTTCACGGTGTGGCATGAATTCTCTTGAGTACTTAGAGTGAAAAATGGGAAGAGAAACATGAATTAAAGATGGAATTTATAATAAAAAAGGAAGCAGAACTTAAAGATGAGGAAAAATTCTTAGTCTGGCCAAGTTGTAAAGATCCGTTAGGGAGAAAACACTGAAAAGTGTGAACAAGTTATGGTTTAGCAAAGAGATTAGTCAAATATTATTCATAAAGGTGGTGGAAGAATAATTCTGAAAACATTTCATGGACCATTAATGTTGCCCTTCCTATCACAAGGTCTGGGGAACACAACTGCATGAAAGGAAAGGACTCACGTGCCCACAGGGCATGAGCCTTCACTGCCCAGTGCCACCTTACATCTCTGGTCGGTGGATTTTGGTGCAGAGTTCCTCAACTACCCCAACTATGGCACAAGTGGACCCAGGTGAGGCTGGCATCACAACTCTGGAAACTATGGGCCATAAACCTTTGAACTGAATACGTGGTGCTAACTCTGCAAGCACACAGAGAGCACAGGCTGGGAAGGCATGGCTATCTCCTCCAAGATTTCAAGCAATTGCTCAGACTCTGGACCCAGACAAAGAGCTGTTAAAGAAATGGAGCTGCCCCCCCCCCCGAATCAGGATGACAATAAACCATAGTGAGGCTGTTTTGAGTCTGGCTATCTCTTTTCTAAAGATACTGACTATAGGCCATCTGTCTGATAAGATAGGACACCCCAACAGGATGCTCAAGGAAGTATTCTTGAAAATGGTAGATTGCTGAAAACACAGCTCTCCATTAATTTGTAAATGCGTGAATCTTTGCCTCTTACCATTCTGTGACTTGCAGCAGCTAGATCAGGCACTCCAGTCTGGAATTCTGTATGTGAGCTACCTTAACAAGCTGTTATTCTCTTATTGCCTATAGTGAAAGACAGCCACTGGGCCACTTCCTCAATACTTACAACAGTCAAAGATTGGCCCAGAATGAAGCCAGGAGCCAAGAACTCAACCTGGGTCTCCCACATGAGTGGCAAGGAAACAAGCACTTGGGATATCATCCTTCTGTTGCCTCCCAGGATGCATCAGCAGGAAGCTGAATTGAAAGCAGAGTGGCTGGGATTCAAACCAGTACCCCAATATGGTTTCTGGGTGTCCCCAACAGAAGTTTTAACCCAGTGCACCAAATGCCAACCCTTAATTTTTTGCATTGTTTTTCCAGAAAGATTTGTTTTATATGAAAGGCAGACTCTCTCTCTCTCTCATACACACACACACACAGAGAGAGAGAGAGAGAGAGAGAGAGAGAGAAAGGATTCACTCACTGGTTCACTTCCCAAATGGCCGCAACAGCTAAAGCCAATTAGTCTGGATCTCCTACATTGGTATAGGAGCCCAAACAACTGGAACATCTTCCATCGCTTTCCCATGCGCATTAGTGTGGAGCTGGATTGCAAGGGGAGCAGCTGGGACTCGAATTGATGCCCTTATGAGATGCAGCATTTTTGGTGGTGGCTGAATCCATTGTGACCCAATGCTAGCTCCTAAATTTTGCTCCTTCATTTTTTCAGTCTCAAGATTTCTGCTTCTTTCAGGGGAAGGATTACACATGATGTGCCCCACCCTCACCCTCCCCATGGACACTACAGTGCATAGGTGCTAGAGTGCAATATCAGCCTGAAAGCACTGCACAGCCCCACCTCCAATCTATGAAAGCTTCTCTGTGGTCTGTGTGAAGCAAAGCTGCAGGGGCATGGTGGGGCTCTGTGAGGCTCCCTGCACATTTTGGGGACCCTCCTCCACTCCAGTGGCACAAGCCATGTTGTTTCCCCTATTGCTTTGGGCCAACTTGCATCTACTGCATTTTCTTTACTGTTTTTTGTTTGTTTGTTTGTTTGTTTTGTTTTTTACTTTTGGAAAGGGAATCGTCCGCCATTGTTTCAAAGATGCATACCTTGCTTGATCTTATGGATACACAATTGAATAACAATGTGTCTCAAAAGAAATCTTGAACAATATCTTGATAGAAATCCTGAACAATATCTGATATAGTTAAAACTCTAGACTTTAATAAAGTTAAGCTTGGGCAGTTAAGGCTTTTGGAGGTTATCAGGATAAAGCAGATGTATTTATGCATGTGGAATGAATTTGGAGGCCAGGGGTAGATTAATATGGTATGAATGTGTGCTCCAAAATCATTGCTGAAATGGAATCACCCATATGATCATATGCAAGATGGAACCCTAAGAGGTGAGTATACATGGAGGTCCTGTCCTCATGAGTGGAGGTAAGGATCTCATAGAATGTCTACAGGAAGTGTGCCTTCTGCCTCTTCTTTCACCGAGTACAGTGTCCATCCTCTATACCCTCACACGTGCAAGGCGCCCCGCCCCAGACAGTGGAACCTGGCATTTGACCTCCCCACCCTCTAGAACCCTGATGAAGTCAAGTATTTCTTCATAGACTACCCAGTTTTGGATACTTAATTATATCAGCGAGGGTGGACAAAGTAATTAATTCAGTCTCGTAAGGTCATGTGTGTACACACACATGAATACGTGTGTGTGTGTGTTTTAAGTTCCAATCCTCTAAACATACCTTAGTCTTTCTGACAACTATCTGTCATCTTGAAGCTACCTAGGGACCCTCAAATACAAAGAGACTCATCACTGTGCAGAGTCCAAAACAGCCTTCAAAATTCTAATGTCCACAACTGGACACTAACACCAAATATTAAAATAAACAAGTGTTCCTATCACTCTCATGACTTGGGAAACTAGTTCTCAGACTTCTTGGCCATGGGACTGAGGACAAACAGCAAGTCTGTATTTCTTATTATACCACAATAGCGCAAACTTGCTTTGAGGCTCAATTCAATACTGGTCCATCAGCTGGAGAGGGAGATCAAAGCTCATCCATAGAACCAGGGAGCTCTTCACCCCTAACACCACTGTAATTTAACTATGAGTAAAGATGCGCAAAGACTATTAGAAGTAGGAGAGTGGTGATGAAAGAAAGGAAAGTGCTCCTTTGATAATTATGACTTATTAAATATAACCATGCTGTACAGAGCCATTTATTATTCTTCAAAGGCTGTCAAGCACCTCCAAGGGAATGGCTTTCTCTTCCCAGGGCATAAAAGCCAGGTGACTCAGGGACAAAACTGATGATGGAATGGAATGGTGAGTTGGAAGCAAAAAGAGACATAAAATCTTTCAAAATCTCCAAGTCTTTATTTTCACTGAACTCAGAATGGGGTGGCAAAAACGCCTTTGTATCACTACAATCAGTTAATCAGTCATGACATGCAGACATTTTCCTTTGCATTCCACATGCACATTTTCTATTTTAAATCAGTAAATTCATAGTAACTAAGGACACAAGATTTCTTATTAAACAGCTCCAGTTCATGTGAAGAAGAGTTAATAAATTCTTTTAAGCACATCATCATGGAAAATGTAACAGGTTAAATTATTAGTTTCTAAAACATTTTGTAGGATTAAATTTATTTACAAGGCATTGCATCAGATTTTTTCCACTAAAGCTTTCTGTTTTCTTCTTGCTGCATGCTGACGTTTTAACACTACATACTATCTGTAATTCCGTAAGAAAGCTACTCTACCAGTTTCACACGTGATGGCAAACAAAGGTAAAAACTCCAGCTTCCCTGATATCCACAGTTCACTTTCAGGTAGAACATGATGGAGCAGGATATTAGGGCACAAAAAGATTCAGACTCCCGTGGGACCAAGGGTCATTCATGAAAGTTAAGAGGTTATGATAAAAGGAGAGCAGGCAAGTGAGAACCCACAAGGAGGAGGAAAGACAACATCACAAGGCAGTGTGATCAGGCCTGCTGGTACCATATATTCTGATAATAATTAATGGGAATGGTTACTGCTTGAGAGATGAGGCAAGGAGAAAGAAGGATGGCATCATATGTTGTCAGTTGGTCAGGCAGCCATATACTTTGGGTGAAAACATAAGGCATTCTTTGCTAACATGATCAGCTTTTATATGATTCTTTCTCTGCATTCTATCCGATGGAAAACCTTACTGGTTTACGCATCATGGAAAATCAAACATTACAGTTATTGCATTGATGAGATGATCATTGCAGAATGTGTTTCCAGGTAGCCTGAAACCCAGCAGACAATGTAGCTGTTGCCCAGAAAATACAGAAATCTACATTGTATGCCAGGTTCAAGCCACACACCTGGATATTCATTTTGGAGAATATCCTTGTAGAATCCTTAGACACAATTGTCACATTGAAGATTACAAAATTGGCATTTGTGTCCTCTACCACTGGGAAACAAAATCAAGAGTCAGACTTGCTGGAACATACTTGCACCAATTACAATTCCATCAAGATCTCATTCTTTAATCACCATATTATTTTGAAAATGCTATCTAGAAGTTAAGAAATGAGAAAGAGGCCATGAAGGAATGGGTAGCTTGATAGTTTGGTAGAAAGATGATAAGTGGAAAGGCAGGTAGATAACTGGTAGGCCGGCAGGCAGACAAACATGAAATGATTTGGATTCCTTTCCCTGGTGCTAAGCAAAGAGACTTCAACAGTGTGCATCAAACCTTGATGATTCTGTAAGTCCAGCTAACAATAGAGGCCTGAATACCCCAGAAGCTGATTCTCTCTTTCTCTCTCTATGTATGTATAAGTCAGGATAAAGCTTTCATTATTGCATGTTGCCCAGTGGCCTTCCTCAGGAGTCTTGATAGTCTTCTGTAACAGAAGCTAGAGGATGCCATCAGAGACCCAGTAGCCAGATGTAGCTACTGATTACCAAAGACAGGATCTACACTGGCTACTGAGCCATTGAGGGCACCTAGACCTTCTGGCAGCTGGATGATCTTCTGCAGCCTTCTTGGGAGGAACCCTGGAGAAAAGAGAGGAAATCAATGCTGGATACTTAGGTGGAAACAGTTTCATATTAACTGCCTATTTTCGTTGGGTCATAGATTGACATCCCAGATAAACGGTTTCAAATAAACTATATATATATAAAAAAGTATATATGTATATACTATTTTTTTTTTTTACTTAGTCAATGGTTACTGATTAAGTCACATTAATTCAAGTGCTAGATATTCTCTCTCAAGTACTGGCCATGAAAGAGCAAAGAAAAAAGACACAAATCTCTAATCTTTGGGAATAATATGACCCTTGGAGGGGAAAAAAATCTAACATTTTATTTGAAATGTTTTTGTGTGAAATGTGAATGCCTCTTAATGAAAACCAAGCAAACAAACGAAAGCAACACACCGTTTGACTGTGGTCTTCAAACATCTTAGTTGCTTGGATAACCTAGCAATGATACACATATTAACTTGTAGAAAAATTGTATTGCAGAATTGTAGCTTCCTGATATTAACTGAGGATGACACAGTTCTTTCCGTGAAAAGTCTAAGCACCTTAGAAACCCGACAAAAAGGGAATCACGTAAAACAGTCAAAGTAGCAGCTCGCCAGTACGTCCATGCTAAGGTTCCTTCCCTTAGTACAATGCAGCTGTAAAACAAGGCACACGGTTTCTTCTCCCTTGGTCCACTCATTGATTCACCACAGAAAAAGCTGCTGAGTGCGCTTTACTCCAGGCACAGGGATGCAACATGGAACAGAAAGTCCCAGTACTTATGTAATGCACCCTCTCAATTTAAGATGAAAGGAGAAAAAGACAAGGAAAAAAAAAAAACAAGCAATGGGATGCTAACAACATGGAATGCTCACAATATGAGCCATGAACTCAGTCCCAACTACTTGAGCCATTGTCTGCTGCGTTTACAGGCACATCAGTACAGAGCTGAACTAAAAGTGAATCAGATCATGCCAGACCAATGCCCGTATGGGATGCTAGTGTTGCAGGCTGTGGCTTAACCCGCTGTGCCACAATGATGACCCCAAGCCTGATGTCTTAGACAAGTCATTCTTACATCAGCATATGCCCATCTGTTAGTTTATAGTTTAGGATTATTTTAGAATATAGATAACTACACAACTTTGTTGCAAGTATACCACACATCTTGGATATCAATGTTCCCACAAATGCTATCAGCTATCATTCTGCAAAGATTTAGCAAAGTTAAGATCAGTTGGAAAAAAAGGTTTTATAATTTGATTGGACATGCAGCTGGATCACAGAATGACACTCAAATATTTAATGCCAAAAGAAGTGTTTTTTAATTTAATGTGATAGCTATTAGGAAAGATTATCAGCTTCCAGAGAGCTCTAAATATATAGATGTCTAGGGAATGATTTAACTAGTTAATCACAACTGCCTAGGCTTAAGAGGAAACCCATTTGCCACGTTACAATGATAGTTCTTTACCAGTGAGGTTAGCTCTTGGAAGAACAAGGGTGCAACTTCTAAGGTGAAATAGGTTTTTGTCTGATTGTACGCTATTTCTTTTTTACCTTTTTAAAACAAATTATAATTAACCTCATCTATGAACTATATTTTAGCATTACCTTCAGACTACAGCATACATACTAGTGTGGGGGAAAAAAAGACCATTTGTACAGGTTTGCCTGAATCTTATTTGCAATATAAAATAAGACACTTACAGAAAGCATAAACACATTTCATAAACCACAAAAGCTGTTTGTAACTTGACTTGCATGAGTAGATTAACCAAGTGAGGCAAGGGCTCAGTTTGGTTGGTCTCAGTGTCAAAATCCAAAGCCTTGTCTTGTATAAGTCTTTTAGATTAGAATAATAGTATTTATAATTCTCAGAGTTTGCTATATATATCCTCAAAATCTAATTTTAGAAACTAAAGTTAGGAAATCTTTTCCCCTTCTTTCTTATTTATCTATGTAATCCAAATAGGAAAATGTCATAAATAAAATTTTATTAGAAGTTACTCTATATAAATTAGTGTCTACCACTATCCAGATACACATTTTAAGTTTATTAGAAACAGAAAAGGAAATATATAGAATATATAACAGCATAAAATATTTTTAAAGGGGACTATTCAAAGTAAATTTTTTAAAAAGATTTATTTATTTTTATTGGAAAGTCAGATATACAGAGAGGAGAGACAGAGAAGAAGATCTTCCATCTGATGCTTTACTCCCCAAGTGACCGCAATGGCTAGAGCTGAGCCAATCTCAAGCCAGGAGGTAGGAGCTTCTTCCAGGTCTCCCATGCAGGTGCAGGGTCCCAAGGCTTTGGGCCGTCTTTGACTGCTTTCCCAGGCCACAAGCAGGGAGCTGGATGGGAAGCAGGGCCGCCAGGATTAGAACCGGCGCCTGTATGGGATCCCAGCGTGTGCTAGGTGAGAACTTTAACCACTATGCTATCGTGCCAGGCCAAATAGCATAAAATTTTAATCAATAATATATTCTCAGAGCTTAAAATAAGAAATAGAGCTGAACCAGAAATATTGAGTTATAAAATTTATTATCCAACAATTGAGAAGATGACTGGAATAAGCAGTTTAGTCTAACAGTTATGTTGTCTTTTAGGGAGAGCTTATCACCTATCAGAGTGCCTAGTTTGAATCCTGGCTACTCTATCTCCAACCCAACATGCTAATAATGCGAGAAGGTACCAGGTGATGGCTCAGGCAGCTGGGGCCCTGCCACCCATGTAGGAGACTAGACTGAATTCCAGACTCCTGACTTGGGCTGGCTCAGCCCCAACTGTTGTAAGATTTGAGGCAGTGAACCAGCAGATGAAATATTTTTCTTTGGCTCTCACTGTACCTTTCAAAGGAAAACAAATTAAAAAAAAAAAGTTAAGCGACAACAAAGCCCCAGGGATAGATGATAGACCTACAACCAAAGTACTGTTCTCCAGTCCTGCTAACAGTGGAAACAAACAAAACAGAAACCCATGCTAAAGAAAGTGCCCATCCTGCTAATGGGTCGTGTATTTGAGGTATAGGGAAGAGAGTTTAAAGGGAGGAAAAGACTGATTAAAGTTAAGCCTGTGACCTGCTATTAGGATGCCTGCTTTAAAGTGAGATAAAGACCAATTCTTGAAACATTCTCCTAGAATTTGAAGAGATTACACTACAGAGTTCCAACAGGAACAACCTATACTTTCAACCAAGAAAATTTAAAAAAAAAATCCCACTGATGTTCAATGACAAGCTACCATATATAAAATGACATTTGCACCAAAATTTTGCTAGGAATGAAAGAAAGACATACTGCAGGGATCATTCAACTAAAGGGAGAATGGAATATCCTATTCATTCTAATGGATTACCTGGTCAATTCTATTTTGTTCCAAACCATCAACCTTAACTTTAATAGCTTTAGGAAAGAAATTTCAACCCCATGAACTCTAAGTAAATGATGAGAGAGGAATGAACACAATAAAGTTAGCAATCTGACAGGGCTAAGTCAGAACTGTCCCAGTGACTTAAAAAAAATACAACCCCCAAAAAACTCCAAGTAAAAATAATCTGTTTCTTTGAATAAGAGATCTTCCAAATGTTTTCCAGTTCCACAATTTTCTACAGTCCTACAATGTTTGTACCCACATATCCCCAACCCCTCAATCATGATATTTCACAATAGTTTGGTGCATGTGCCAGTGGCCTTCTGTAACTAAGTAAAAAAATACAGTCGACTTCTACCATAAATACGTTTATAGATTTAACAGAGCACAAAGCAGCTCAGTATTCTAACAAAGGCAGAATTTAAGTGGGGGGGGGGGGGGGGAAGCTGCCTCCCATTGGCCACACACACGACAAAACCCAAAATCAACCAACCAATAACATCCAAAAGGACACGAGGAGACGTTTGGGTTGTAGTGATGGTTATCACCCATATTTACACTATGTCCAAACTCATCAAATTGCCCGCATGAAACATGTTATATTTATTGATTGCTTAAGCTTCAATAAAACTGCAATTTTAAAATCTGCCCTCCCATGTGGTTAAAAAGAAAAAGTCTAATTAACTTTATAGACCAGAAAAGCAATGCATACCATGTACACAGTATGCTGTAGGGTGAAATTACGCTGCAGGAAAAAGCAACCTTTTAAACGCAGGTGTCTAATTAAAGTACGTTCTTGTGAACTTAGATTCCTTCTGGGTTACGTTAGAGCACTTGAGCCAGGGTATCACCACAAGCAGGCACGTGCTTGCAACCCGTCCAGCACTCGCATACCTGAGATCCTGTGACCACACTGACTAAAGCCACTTCTACCAGCTGATGGTCACTTGATCCCTACTTCTCTCTATTTAGTAAATTGCTCTGCCAGTCAATTTGAAGATTGAGGTGAACATTTTCTGGGACGTTCCTAGGCAAGACATTTTTTTCAAAGGCATCTGTTGCCAGATATGTCTAGTCTGAGCAGGTCTGGGAAGGGACTGGATTGGCACAAGCTTTGAGAGGCTAAATTACTCGCAGCCCATGAAGCAGACTCAGATGAGTTTTTTTTTTTAATAAAGAGGAATATTTGGCAATCAAGTGCATACCTTTAATCCTTCTCAATGGAAACTAAAGTTTTCTTAATCACTAGGTGAAAGCAGGAATCATTTTACTCATTAAAAACACTCAGAGAAACAGAATAGCTTCATCTTACATAATGAGCAGCCTTTTTATGGACATGTTCCAGAAAGTAATTGCCTTAAACCCGTGTACATGTGGATCTCTCACTATCCTCCCTCCTCTCTGGTAAAAACCCCTAAGATTTTCTCTTCAGTGTGCAATGATGGCGAGGAATCCCTGCCAAACAAAAAGTAAAATAACTTGCATTTCATCAGTAATTTTTTTTTAAAAAATTGGGATGTTGAGCCTGTGCAGTAGCCTAGTAGCTAAATTCCTCACCTTGCATGCTCCAGGATCCCATATGGGTGCCCGCTTATGTCCCAACTGCCCCGCTTCCCATCCAGCTCCCTGTTGTACCCTGGGAAAAC